TTCAGGCAGGTCCCTCCCCATCCTGTTCTGGACGCGTCCGTGAACACTGTGATGTAGGAGGTCACCCGTCCCAGTGGAGACCTCCTCCGGAGGTGGTCCGGAGACCCCCAAAACCGGAGGTTGCCCTCCACTGAGGGGGGGAAGGATGGTCACCAGCCGTCGTTTGTGCCTCCACAAGGCGGCGCATATGTAGTAACCCCAGCGGGACTCACCATGTGAGCAGCCGCCATGAGACCCAGAGTCTGCATGACAGTTAAAGCTGTCACTGTTGCCCCCTGTCGCAGCCTGTGCACCGCCCTGAGACGGGGCGCACGTCTGCTCTCTGACAGGGTGGCACGCAGCGCGTCTGCATCGAGCCCCACACCCAAATACAATGCCTGTTGGCGAGGTATGGGGGTGCTCTTTTTCCAATCGATCGCAAAACCTAATTTGGTTAGGTGTGTGATCAACTGTGCTGTGCAAAACATTGCCTGTTCCCGGGACCCAGCCATGACTATGAGGTCGTCTATGTAAAAGAAAACTCTCATGCCGTGTGCGCGCAGCGGTTGAGGCGCTGTGGCCACACATTTGCTGAATGTGCGTGGGGATAGGGAATAACCGAACGGCAGCCTGTTGTATTCGTAGGCTATTCCCTGGAAGGCAAAACGCAGATACTTTCTGTGCTCTGGAACAATTTCCACATGAAAGTACGCGTCTTTCAGGTCGATGGTGGTGAACCAATCGCCTGGCTGCACAAGCCCTAGTAACTGTTTCACAGTTAACATGCGGAATTTCCTGCTGGAAATATGACGATTCAGGCCCCGGAGATCTAGAATAGGTCTGAATTCCCCTGTTTTCTTGAGAACCAGGAAATACATGGAATAAAGACCCTTCTCTCTGTGCTGAGGATGCACAACAGACACAGCCTGTTTCTGCACCAGAGCCTGAATCTCTGCTGAGAGGAAACCCATCTCCTCCTGGGAAGACAGATTTACCTCTCGCATGCCCATAAAAGGAGGTGGGATGCTGCAAACTGGAGTGAATAGCCCCGTTTCAGCGTCCTGTCCATCCACCTTGTCAGTACACAGCTGAGTTTCCATTCCCCATAACATTGTGTTAGGGGATGTGCAATCAGCTGCGGAGCCGCAGCTATGAAGCTGTGGTACTCTCTGGTGGCTCACTCCGCCGTCAAACCCTCCATAAAAGGAAGTTTGACCCATGGGGGGCTGACACAGAAAGGGCCGTTTTTCTGTAATGCAGTTTCCACTCAGAGAAAAAAACGGCAGATTTTTCACTGAGGTCCCTGAACGCACCACGGCACGCTCCCGTGAGAGCGCGCGCTCCGCCGTAATGCTGTTTCCTGAGAGAAAGAGGCATTAATCGGAGCTTCTTCTGTCCATGAACGCACCGCGGCCCGCTCTCGGGGGGGGGGCCGCGCGTCGTCATAATGCTATTTTCCTCACTATGGAAAACAGCATTAACCGGAGTTTTTACAGGCGTAGTGTGTTTTACTAAGGCCCCTGAACGCACCGCCACGCGCCTCTTTACAAGTGCGGGCGTTGCTATAATGCAGCCCATATCACTATAGTAACAGCATTATTTGGAGTCTTAGCTTCAGGCATAGAATGTTTTCTAACAGAAAAACGTAGGCCATAATGTCCCTGTACCCGCACCGCACTATAACAGTGCTGCCTGCGGTTTATCACTCTCATCTGCGCACTCCCACTAGCCTCCTCCCTAACAGGAGCTATAGCTGGGGCGGCGAGTGGGGAATTTGTACAGTCATCAACATGTGCAAGTGTATTGTGGAAACAAAGGACACTCAGACTTGGATACAGATCAACACCATCTTTATTTTAAAAGTTTTGACAGGGATCTGGGCATTAAATAGGCAGTTAACTCCGCGAAGATGGAGCTCCCCACCCGGGTGCTCTGCTGTTGCGGAGCCTGCCTCGATCGGGCAGCCCTTCCCCGTGACTGCCGGTATGCCGGTGCCACGCGGTGGGCCGTAGAGGTGGAGGGCGCCGCAGCTACGGGACCCCCGTGCCGGCGCCTCTCCCTCCGCTTCACTGTCGCACTACGCTCCCTCCCCTGCATGGCAACGCGAGGGGGGCACGTAGCGGGGCCTGAGGAGGAGCCAGCGATAGCATACGGCTAAGCTGGACTCTCTCCTCCTCTAGGCGGCTGAAGCGCTGGGTGACCGAGGAGACCGACCCAAAGAGCCCCTCCGTGGACACGGGGGCTCCGAGGAGATCTTCTCGGTCCTTCTTAGATAGGGCCGTGAGCCCTAGCCACACGTGACGAGACGCCACTGTGGCCAGGGAAATCATCCGCCCTGCTGCGGTGGCCACGCCATAAATCAGATTACTCATCTGACTAACAGCGTGGTCCGAATAATCGCTCTCGTCCTGAGACGGGAGGGCGGGGGCGTCTGCCTGAGGGGTGATCAGGAAGACGCCAACACGCCAAGATTATCGGCCGCAGCCGCCATCTGCGTACCGAGCTTGAACAATTTATCCAGATATTCCAGGTGTCTCGGTCCCGTGGCAGCGGGGGCAGAGGACGTTTACCCTCCGCCCAACCAGCCACGGAAGCAGATGGGCCGCCAGGCTCCCATCGAGGGGGGGGGGGCACATCTGGACATGTCGTGTCCGAGCGATCCACCACCTTAACGATAACCGCCATGGCGGCTATCGGGGCCTTCGTTTTAAATGGCTGCTGCCATGTCGCCTCCACACACCGCCATACCTCTGGCAGCTGGGGCGAAACAAAGGTCGGCTGCGCCGGACGCACCGGGCCGTAAATCTCAGGCGGTTTACAGGCCTTAGTGGCAGCGGTGGGGGGAGCGGTAAGCCTACACGCTCCGCCGCCAGAGTCATCACCGCCGGGAAATCGATCCGCGCAGACCTGAGAGTTGGACCTCCGGTCAGCGAGGCGTCCTCCTCGTCCCCCATCGGAAGAACCGGGACGACGTCACCTCGCTCCCCGAATCGCCTACGTCCACGACGTCGAGCTCCAGATCCACCGACTCCTCCTGCGGGGTAGCCCTCGCCAGGAAGTGCTGCCCACGATGCTCTCGTGTGAGCCGCGGGATCATCTGGCAGTCTGGGCATGTCAGCGTCGGGCCCATATTACCCACCGCGTGGTCAGGCCCCAAGGACGTGAAGCAGAAGGGTAATTAGATTTGGGCATTTCGGGCTGGTCCTACACTTTACTCTCTGGAATCACTTCCGCTGCTGAAGAGAAAAAGGATGATAGTCAGGAGGCGAGGCCTCCTTTTATACGGTGTGATGCGCGCGCATTCAGGTAGGCCCGCCCTGGGCCGGCTACGTCTATAGAAGTCTCAGTGGGAGAATGCACGCGGGATAAGGTAGTACCCATAGAGTCCAGTAGAGGGCGGAGCCTGTGAGACATATAACTGCACAGCACATCACCAGGACGGAGCTGCCATCCATGGAGGACCTTTACTCCCAGCGGCTCAGGAAGAAATCACTACGGATTATCAAAGACCCCCATCACCCCAGCCACAAACTGTTCTTTCTGTTGCCGTCTGGCAGACGTTACCGCAGCATCCTGGCAAAGACAAGAAGATTCGGTGACAGTTTCTTCCTACGGGCAGTGAGACTGTTAAACAATTGAACTGCTGAAACAACTTCAAAACATTCATCTGCTACTCAGTAATATGTATCTAATATCTAATATATATCATTCCAATAACTTGTATATAGACTCGTACTGCGCTATTCCACATGCTCACTTTATTTTATAACTATTTTTCTTTTTGTATTGCTCTTGCTATCTGTATTGTTATTATGTTGCATTATTGGAGAAGCCTGTGACATAAGATTTTCAACAACATAATTACTCTGTAGCTATGTCAGTTTGACAATAAAGAACCTTGAACCTTGAAAACAAAGCGCACCGTAACATCGAAGCAGCCGTTCGCGGCGCCATCTTTGTTGTTGTAACAATCTTATTATATTTGAAGACAGATGGCGTCACTTATCTTCATCTCAATGTATCTGACTGATTGACCAACTCAAACATGCACAGACAAACAGATGGTATAATTTGACAAAAGAACTAGAAAAGATTGTATGTTGAAACTTTGCGCTCAATCACATTTAATATTAAAGGAATTTTGTCATGTATTAATTTCTTTCAAGGTTAACTGACTGCAACCTGTCAGAGAGAAGCTGTGAAGCTTTGTCCTCAGTCCTCAGCTCCCAGTCCTCTAGTCTGAGAGAGCTGGACCTTAGTAACAACGACCTGCCGGATTCAGGAGTGAAGCTGCTGTCTGGTGGACTGGAGGGTCAACACTACTCTGGAGACTCTCAGTTCAGAGTTCAGCTGATATGTTAACTGTCAGATTGGTTTTGTTCAGCCATTTCTATCGACTAATTTCCAGTTTTATCAAATTAGAATAATAATACATTTCGATTCTCCTTCGGTTTGTTGTTTATTTTTCTTCTTCAAAACAATAAACCACAAAACCATGATAACAATCTGATTATATTTGAAGACAGATGGCGTCACTTATCTACATCTCAATGTATCTAACTGATTGACAAACACAAACATGCACAGACAAACAGATGGTATAATTTGACAAAGGAACTAGAAAAGATTGTATGTTGAAACCTTGCGCTCAATCACATTTAATATTAAAGGAATGTTGTCATATTTATTTATTTCTTTCAAGGTTAACTGGCTGTAACCTGTCAGAGAGAAGCTGTGAAGATCTGTCCTCAGTCCTCAGCTCCCAGTCCTCTAGTCTGAGAGATCTGGACCTGAGTAACAACGACCTGAAGGATTCAGGAGTGAAGCTGCTGTCTGCTGGACTGGAGAGTCCACACTGAACTGAAGACTCTCAGGTCAGAGTTCAGCTTTTTATTTTCAAGCAGTTCAATTATTTTCATCCAGCTTTTTGTTCATGTTGATGAAGATGGTCCACCTCTGTATGATGTTCCTGTTCATGTGACTTTTTAAAGCACTGAGTTTACTGTATTCCCTGGTTCCAGTCTGTCAGGCTGTCTGGTCACAGAGGAAGGCTGTGTTTCTCTGGCTTCAGCTCTGAGATCCAACCCCTCCCATCTGAGAGAGCTGGACCTGAGCTACAATCATCCAGGAGACTCAGGAGAGAAGCTGCTGTCTGCTGGACGGGAGGATCCACTCTGGAGACTGGACACTCTCAGGTATGGACAGACTGACTTCCTCCTATTTTTCTAATTGAATCTCCTTCATCTCTGGTCTTCCATCATGAAGGACGTCTCATTTCCCTTGATTATGTTCACAGCAGTGAGTTAACCTTGAAGTCTTATTACATGGAAACAGCCATTCAGTCCAAACATCAGAACCACTGGTTTCCTGGCTCTAGGGAGGATAATGATGGTCAGTTTATGAATTTGGTTCTGACTGAGATATCTTACCAACTGCTAAATATGTTGAGATGAGATTCTGTTTGACATTTTAGATTTCCAGAGGGACGATCCGGACTCTTTAATATGCGTTCATTTGACGTAGGTTTATTTTTGTGCTTATTAATTGTTTCACTTAGTTGTTTGTTTGTCTGTTTTTTGTTTCGTTAAACTTGGGGAGCTTGGTTCGGTTTTGTTTGTTTTCGCCAGCCAGGGTCTCTGCCGGTCGGCATCTTGGCGATCTATCCCAGATGACTCGGAGGCAAAGCATCAAAATCTGCGAATCTGTAAAAATGGATGAGTTTGACTACATTATATTTGCCACGTTGTCAGTCATGAAGTGCTTTAATGAGCGACCCGGTAAACTGAGGGCTCAAGCTAGCCGAGGAAGTGGCAAAGAAGGGATGTCCTTTAGTTTTGTTGAATCAGCTTCATATGTGCACGTTGTCTTGGTCAGTCAGGATATTGATCCGGAAAACAACTTACTGAACAATATCAACAACAGCTGCAACTATTTCACAGAAGAGCAATTCAATGTAATGTGTGAATCAGAAGAGAACATATCAATGATCCACTTCAATAGCAGAAGCCTATATGCCAACTTCCTCAACATTAAAGAATATCTAAGTCAGTTTAAGAACCCATTCAACATCATAGCAATATCAGAGACCTGGATCAGTGCTGAGGAAGGTGTGGACTTTGAGATGGATGGCTATGAACTGAATTATACAAACAGATGGAATAAGAGTGGAGGGGCAATCTATGTGGATAAAGGAATGAACTAGAAGGTGGTGGAGAGCATGACAACAGCTGTTGACGATTTGTTTGAATGTGTTACAGTAGACATGTGCATGGAAAGGTCTAAACATGTTATTGTGAGCTGTATATACAGAGCTCCTGGAACCTGTATTGACACATGTACAGATAGGATAGAAACATGTTTGCTAAATCATTACAAAACATGATGTTTATCTGTGGGGATTACAATATTGACCTGTTGAAACCAAAAAGGCATCAAATGACAGAAGACTTCATCAATGCATTGTACAGTATGGGTTTGTATCCTAAAACCACCAGACCTAGTAGAATCACTTCTCACTCTGCTACATGAATAGACAACATATTCACAAACATTATGGAGAACAATACAGTAGGGACTACTATATAGTGACATCAGTGATCATTCACCTGTTCTTATTGTCTATCACTGCAGTTATAAGAAACCTAAAGTCGCCAGCCATTTCAAATACAAAAGATTGAGAACTGAAGAAAACATAAATGCATTTAAGAATGACTTACTAAATCACAATTGGAGGCTAGTATATGAGAGACGATATGGACAAGGCATATGATGAATTTCTAAACATTTTGAAATGACTTTATGACAAAAAGTGTCCTGTGAAACAATGCAGAGAGAGACACAAACAAAATCACAGTGCATGGATCACTGATGGCCTAAACAATGCAGAGAGAGACACAAACAAAGTCACAGTGCATGGATCACTGATGGCCTAAACAATGCAGAGACACACAAACAAAGTCACAGTGCATGGATCACTGATGGCCTAAACAATGCAGAGAGAGACACAAACAAAGTCACAGTGCATGGATCACTGATGGCCTAAACAATGCAGAGAGACACAAACAAAGTCACAGTGCATGGATCACTGATGGCCTAAACAATGCAGAGAGAGACACAAACAAAGTCACAGTGCATGGATCACTGATGGCCTAAACAATGCAGAGAGACACAAACAAAGTCACAGTGCATGGATCACTGATGGCCTAAACAATGCAGAGAGACACAAACAAAGTCACAGTGCATGGATCACTGATGGCCTAAACAATGCAGAGAGAGACACAAACAAAGTCACAGTGCATGGATCACTGATGGCCTAAACAATGCAGAGACACAAACAAAGTCACAGTGCATGGATCACTGATGGCCTAAACAATGCAGAGAGAGACACAAACAAAGTCACAGTGCATGGATCACTGATGGCCTAAACAATGCAGAGAGACACAAAGTCACAGTGCATGGATCACTGATGGCCTAAACAATGCAGAGAGAGACACAAACAAAGTCACAGTGCATGGATCACTGATGGCCTAAACAATGCAGAGAGACACAAACAAAGTCACAGTGCATGGATCACTGATGGCCTAAACAATGCAGAGAGAGACAAAGTCACCGTGCATGGATCACTGATGGCCAAAACAATGCAGAGAGAGACACAAACAAAGTCACCGTGCATGGATCACTGATGGCCTAAACAATGCAGAGAGACACAAAGTCACAGTGCATGGATCACTGATGGCCTAAACAATGCAGAGAGAGACACAAACAAAGTCACAGTGCATGGATCACTGATGGCCTAAACAATGCAGAGAGACACAAACAAAGTCACAGTGCATGGATCACTGATGGCCTAAACAATGCAGAGAGAGACAAAGTCACCGTGCATGGATCACTGATGGCCAAAACAATGCAGAGAGAGACACAAACAAAGTCACCGTGCATGGATCACTGATGGCCTAAACAATGCAGAGAGAGACACAAACAAAGTCACCGTGCATGGATCACTGATGGCCTAAACAATGCAGAGAGAGACACAAACAAAGTCACCGTGCATGGATCACTGATGGCCTAAACAATGCAGAGAGAGACACAAACAAAGTCACAGTGCATGGATCACTGATGGCCTAAACAATGCAGAGAGACACAAACAAAGTCACAGTGCATGGATCACTGATGGCCTAAACAATGCAGAGAGAGACACAAACAAAGTCACAGTGCATGGATCACTGATGGCCTAAACAATGCCTGCAAAAAGAAAAATACACTTTATAGACAACTCATCAAATATAGAAGTTCAGAAGCAGAAAATAAATATAAAAGATATAAGAATAAATGAACCAATATTATGAGAATATGTAAGAAAGAATACTATAATAAAATACTAGAGAGTACTCAGAATGAAAGGTTGATGGAAGGTATTAAATAGTATCGTTAGAAACGGAGCAAAGAGTACAGGTTACCCTGAGTTTCTTGTTGACAAAGATAATGTTATCAATAACACAGAAGATGTGGTTCATGGTTTGAACCAATTCTTTGTAAATGTGGGGCCAGATCTGGCAGAAAGAATGAAAAGTGTAGAAACAGCTAAAGGGGAAGATACAGACCTCTGGAATGAAAACAATAGCTCTTTGTTCCTCAGAGCAGTCGAAGAAAGAGAAATCATAGACACTGTACGGAAATGTAAAAGCAAGTCCTCGAGCGATTGGAATCATATTGATATGATTAGAGTCAAAAACATTATTGAAGAAATTGCAGAACCATGAACACATCTTTGTAACTTGTTTTTTCAATCTGGTACATTCCCTAATGAAATGAAAATAGCTAAAGTTATACCATGATATCAAACTGGGGATAAACACCATGACACACATCACATGTTTCTTTGCTTTCCCACTTTCATCCTTGAAAAGGGTTTTACAAAAAGACTTGACAGTTTCATGGAAACACATCAGCTGTTGGACGACAGTCGATATGGATTCAGGAAAGACAGATCAACATGTACGGCACTAATGGGATTAAGTGAGGAAATAGCAAACTGCTTGGACAATAAAAAACAAGCAGTGGGAATATTGATAGAGCTACAGAAAGCATGTGACACCATAGATCACAACTAGAGATGTCCCGATCCGATCACGTGATCGGGGATCATCCTGAGGCCTTAGTTTTGGTTTAAAATGACACAACATCATGTATGTGTTGCTTCTTTTGGGCTTGTTTTCATAGACCTGGTTGCTTATTTCTCTCAAATCTGGCAACAGAGTGGGCAGGGCGCAGTGTCTAATAGTAGCAGTAAGCTAACAAGAGGCTACGTTCAGCTGGTGACTCGGGAGTCGGGACAGAGAAAATGTCAGGAGTTTGGAAGTATTATAAAATTGAAAGCAAAGGCAGTGTAACAGCCAGATGCAATGTTTGCAAGGCGGAGGTTCCGCGTGGTGGAAAGAACAGAGCTACGTTCAACACGACCAATCTAATACGCCACCTGAGAAACAAACACCAACAACAACACAACGAGTACACAGCGACCACTCAGGTAACGGCACTGAAACAACCAACACTTTCAGAGACTTTTAAAAAGGAAAGAGAAACTGCCCCAGAACAGTGAAAAGGCCAAAAGATAGCTGAATTCATCGCGTTGGATGACCAGCCGTTATCTGTGGTGGAGAACGTGAGGTTTAAGGGACAACTTGAATGCTTTTTTCTTTTTTTTCTCTTAATGCATTGCATAAAGATCGGATCGGGAAAAATCGGTATCGGCAGATTGTCAAAATCAAATGATCGGAATCGGATCGGGAGCAAAAAAAGGTGATCGGGACATCCCTAATCACAACATGTTACTGACAACACTGGAAAGCTATGGCATCAGAGGGTGGGATCAGACTGGCTGAGAGATTATTGAAGCAACAGACCACACTTGGTGAAATAGGTGAACATAAATCAGAAGACATGAACATAACTTGTGGAGTACCTCAGGGGTCTGTGTTGGGTCCACAGCTGTTCATCATATACATCAACCATATCTGCAGAGTATCAAATATATTGACATGTATTGTATTTGCAGATGATACTAATATGTTTTGTTCTGGTGACAGTTTGAAACAGCTAATGGAGGTAATAACAGCAGACATGATTCAAGTCAAACATTGGTTTGATAAGAACAAATGATCATTAAATATAAGCAGAACAAAGATTATGCTCTTTGGAAAACCTCAAACAAATCCTCAGGTTAATCCTAGACAACATAAACATAGAAAGAGTATATGTAAACAAGTTCCTTGGTGTTAGAGCACAACATCAGCTGGAAACCTCATATCCATCATGTCAAAGCTAAACTGGCTGAGACTATCGCACTATTGGGGAAAGCAAGACACACTCTGGAGTACACATCATGATATACTCTGTGATACACTCATATCACATCATGATATACTCTGTGTGATACACTCATATCACATCATGATATACTCTGTGTGATACACTCATATCACATCATGATATACTCTGCGATACACTCATATCACATCATGATATACTCTGTGTGATACACTCATATCACATCATGATATACTCTGTGATACACTCATATCACATCATGATATACTCTGGGATACACTCATATCGCATCATGATATACTCTGTGATACACTCATATCGCATCATGATATACTCTGTGTGATACACTCATATCGCATCATGATATACTCTGTGTGATACACTCATATCTCCATGTCTGAGTTACTGTGTGGAGATCTGGGGAAACACAAAACCAACCTGCAGCCGTTATGCACATTACAAAAAAGGGCTATAAGAGTAATCAATAGTGTTGGATATCTTGAACACACTCATTCATTATTCTTGAAGTCACACACACTGAAGTTTACTGATCTGGTTACATTTCAAACTGCATCATGTACAGAGCAAGAGATAATCTACTTCCTAGGACACTACAGACGTTGTTCATAGACAGAGAGGGGGGGTATCATCTGAGAGGAGATCTACATCTGAAACAACTCAAGGTCAGAAGAACTCTGAGAAGAGCAGAACAATCTGTGGGGGGGGGGGGGGGGTTCATGGAGCGGCTTGGAGCAGGAGTTCAAACAAAGCACACATATCATTCACTTTGAAGGATGCACAGAAACACTTCTTTGGGAAACTATGAGAATGAAGAAAGGAGATTGAAGAGGAGAAATGATTGTAAATGTATAAATGTAAATATGTAAGTAGGAATAACTTGCAGAGATGATTGAAAGGATAATCATTGATCAGCAGTAAGTAAGGTGGATCAATAAGCATCTGCTCCCTCCTGCTCCCTTCGGACACATAGCATTTATTATTATTATGATGAACATTGATAAATACTTTATTCTAACAATACGCTGTTCTGTTTCTCACATGTGTTTCTTCCTCCAGGCTGGACCATGGTGGAGAGCAGAGGTTCAGAGCAGGTCTGAGGAAGTGTAAGTGTGGATCAGTCAGCTTCTCTCTGAAGACACAGATGATGGAGGTGCTATTTATTCATTAGAACATGACCTCTTGAAGCTTTATAGAAAGATCACTGACAGAGAGGAAAGCCTTCAGGTGAGTCTGGTGATAAACTGCTGTCTGTGTCTCTCATCAGATTCCTGTGAACTCACCCTGGACTCAAACACAGTGAACAGACAACTCAAACTGTCTGAGGACAACAGGAAGGTGACACGTGTGAGAGAGAGGCAGCCATATCCTGATCATCCAGAGAGGTTTGACTCCTTCTGGCCTCAGCTGATGTGCAGAGAAGCTCTGACTGGTCGCTGTTACTGGGAGGTCGAGTGGAGAGGAGATGTTACTATAGCAGTGACTTACAGAGGAATCAGCAGGAAAGGAGGCATAGTGGACTGTGTGTTTGGATACACTGATCATTCCTGGAGTCTGAGATGCTATGATAGAGGTTACTCTGTCATGCACAATAAGAGAGGAACAAACATCTCCTCCTCCTCCTCCTCCTCCTCCTCCTCCTCTGGTAGAGTAGCAGTGTATCTGGATCATCCTGCTGGCTCTCTCTCCTTCTACAGAGTCTCTTCCTCCTCACTGATCCTCCTCCACACCTTCAGAGTCACATTCACTGAACCTCTCTACGCTGGGTTTGGGTTAGATGAAGGTTCCTCCTCAGACTCCTCAGTGTCTCTGTGTCCTCTGTGTCCTCTGTAGGAGGAGTCCACTTCCTGTCCTGGGTCACATGTTGGTGTTTTAAATGGAGGCTTCTCATTGGTTACCGTGTGTCTCACTGATTGTGTCTGTAATAAAGTTTTCTTGAAGCAACATATTAAAGCTGATCCTGAAGACTGTAGTGATCGATACGTTCAATAAAGATTTAGAACAAGCAGCGTCTATGAAGTCAATCTGTTCCTCCTCCTCCTCTCCTCCTCCTCCTCTCCTCCTCTTTATAACATCATCTGCTGCATTTATTTGGTCAATTTAAACGGTGAGTAACGTTATAATAATAATAATAATAATTATAATAATAATAATAATAATAATAATTAAAGCTGCAAGCAGCGTTGAGCGGGTCTTCGACGCTCCGCAGGCTGTTGTCCGCACGTCGAGGTGTGTGTCTAGGTGTCTCGAGGACTCGGCCGTTGGCAAACGTGGGAAGTTTCAGGCCGATCGGACAACGTACATGGGATTTACAGCAGTATCATAAACATTGTGTTTGATGGCGAGTGATCTGTCGCCATGGCAACGGCATTTGATGACACCCCATAATACGCCTAGATGTGTTGAGGGCTGCATCGTTATCAAACCTGTGAAGTTCTGGGCCGTTTGGAGCATGTTAACTGGAGTTATGAGAAAACCGTGTTTCACGGCGACCATTTTGTTACCATGGCAATGGCATTTGACGAAATCTCAAAACTGACACATATATGTCTTTAGGGCTGTACCGTTAGCACACATGTAAAGTTTGAACACTTTTTTACCATTTACACAGGAGTTATAGCAATATCGTGCTTAACGGCGAGGGATGCGTTGCCATGGCAACAGCTTTAGAGGAAAACTCACTATTGTCATATTGAGGTGTTGAGGGCCGGACTAGTAGCCATCATCTGAAGTCTGGTGCAGTTTGGATCATTTTCCATTGACTTAAGACAACATTGTGTTTTTTGGCGAGGGATGCATTGCCATGGAAACGGCATATGATGACATCCCATAATTGGCGTAGAGCTGTTGAGGGCCGGACCATTAGCCATCATCTGATGTCTGGTGCCGTTTGGACGTTTTTCCAGTGAGTTAGGACAACACAGTGTTTCATGGCGAGGGATCTGTCGCCATGGCTACGGCATATGATGACATCCCATAATTGGTGTAGAGCTGTTGAGGGCCGGACCATTAGCCATCATATGAAGTCTGGTGCAGTTTGGATCATTTTCCATTGACTTAAGACAACATTGTGTTTTATGGCGAGGGATGCGTTGCCATGGAAACGGCATACGGTGAGATCTCAGATTTCACGTAGAGCTGTTGAGGGCCAGACCATTAGCCATCATCTGAAGTCTGGTGCAGTTTGGAACCTTTTCCATTGAGTTAAGACAACATTGTGTTTTATGGCGAGGGATGCGTTGCCATGGAAACGGCATATGATGACATCCCATAATTGGCATAGAGCTGTTGAGGGCCGGACCATTAGCCATCATCTGAAGTGTGGTGCAGTTTGGACCATTTTCCATTGACTTAAGACAACATTGTGTTTTATGGCGAGGGATACGCATCATGCCATGGAAACGGCATACGGTGAGATCTCAGATTTCACGTAGAGCTGTTGAGGCATGGACCGGTGATATAAAAGTGAAGATTGGGGGACGATGGGACCGTGTTCATTGGAGTTACAGCGACACCGTGTTTTATGGCGAGGGATGCGTTGCCATGGTAACCATGGTAACTTTGGCGCCAAATCACGGCTACGCCGTGCGAAAGAAAAAAACTTCTGTGATAACTTTGAATTGCCCATGTCTCGAGACGCTTCCCAGACGAATTTCGAGTCGTACGGATAAAGTCCCTGGGAGAAGATAGATTTCGTGCGGAGGACGAAAAACGCGATAAATCGTGTTTTTCCAACGCCAAATTCAAAATGTCCGACTTCCTGTACGTTATTTTATACCCCTCCAAGAGGCTTTTTTGTTTGTCTCCGCACCCTAGCGGAGCGAGTTTCGTTCGTTTGCGTGAAAGTTAAAGTGGGGGGAGTTTACGTTAAAACCGGAAGTGGGCGTGGCCTACGCAATTTTTTACGCAAAGTTCCGGAACCAATTACATATCGCAAGTTGCACCACTTATGACGCGCGTGCAAAATTTGGTGAGTTTTCACATATGATGCGGGGATCAAAGGTTTATCGGTCGCTGCGCGACCGATTTCAATAGGGTCTTCGCTGACCTAGGTCTCAGACCCTAATTACCTTTATTGGGCTGTCCCTGAGTGCTTGGTCCTGGTGTTGGCTCTTCCGAGTCATCATCTGAGCGATCAGCCTCGATCTGATGAGTTTGACGGCGCCGTCTGGGAGTGCGGGATGAACCTGTATCTGTCCCTGTCCCTGAACCTGTCAACAAGTGTTGTAAATAAGCATTTTGCTTCCTATCCTTCACCTAGCCCTGAGGCCCTGCCTAAAATAAACAAATATCCACTGGGTCTTGGCTAACCATTATTTGCACCACGGAGACGTTTACGTCCTCTGCTGTGCTCAGTGGGCTGAGGAATGGGGTCCTCATCATCACTACTGTCATCCTCATCCTCACTGCTGCTTTGCTCCTGTGGTGGGGGTTGATAATTGGCATCCAGGATGGGATCATCGTTGTCAGACAAGTCTTCCAAATCTGAGTTGTCTCCATCAATTAACCCAAGTAGCTCCAATGCTCTTTGCACAGAAAAACGCTCAGGAAATAAAAACATGAACAAATCAAATACAAACCAATGTCATTTATATATGTATGTATTTCTTTGTTATTTATTTCACTGGGACAATGTACAGCTTTTCAACTGCACCAGAGTTAGCTATAAACAACTCTAGCTATTAGCTATAGCAAGGCACATTTGTACTAGCATATTAACATTTTCAACCCAACTAATTTATGTATGTATGTATGTATTTAGTTATTTAATTGTTATTTATTTCATCGGGACAATGTACAGCTTTTTAGCTGCACCAGAGTTAGCTATAAGCTATTTTACTTGTGCACATCTTTACTAACATATTAGCATTTTCGACCAACCTAAGTCCCTATGTACACATACGTGTACATCATGTTTAGCGGCATACCAAATTGTTATTTTTACACCTTTTTTGTCAAATTTGCATGTCATGACAAACGTACAATGCTTTGATAAATATCTAAATCAGAAAAAGCCTTGAAATATGATAGGACTTCTTACCTTGTCGAGGTTTGTATTTGGAGCTGCCACTTGAATTATCCCTTGTGTTTGCCGCCATTTTGAATTTTTACCGTAGTGTGTTGTACTCTTCTGACACCACCAGATGGCAGTGTAAGTGCCCACATACGTGGCCATGAGGCCCCAGTTCAGCAGAATTAACGACTGTGGTCATATGACCAAAAATGTGATGTCCACGCATGTGTACGCCAGGCCCTAGGAATAAAAATCTATATTGATTCTGACTTCTCTACATCCAACTCGCAGGTTTATCATTGCTTTGAGAAAAAAGATTATTAATTTACCCCTTTTAGAAGTGAAGATATAGTCATTTGTTCTGGGAATGTCATTTTCGAGCCTGAGACCTGGAAAAGAGGCTCAGGGGTTAACAGGTTAAGCTTAATACATTCATCAAAAGCATAGAATGTATTTTTGTTTAATAAATCAGGTGTCCATCTACTGCATTAAAAAATAAATATATTTAAAATAAAGAAGAATAAAAGTAGCCTAAATATAAACCATAAAGAAAATGTATTCAGTCTACCAATAATATATTCATCTTTATTTCAAAATGTATAGTAACACTAATCCTGATAGTAATCTCTATTTTTTTTAAGTAATCTGATTGTATTACCGTAATTTTAATCGAATACAGTTACCTTTCCTTGTATCCTGATTACGTAATCTTGTTACATGTAATCTGTTACTCCCCAAACCTGTTCATGTGCTCGTGTGTTATTGGCTGCTAATGACCGCTAACCACTATCATCCCCTGGTCCTCACCCTCCACGCCACACATTACCATCAATCACAATAACAGCGGCTCCTCGCTCGCTCGCACACACACACACACACACACACACACAGCGCACAATAATAAACATTATGGAGCCTGAGGCGGGGTGAAGAGGGGCCTTTAAGTTTGATTTATTTGTTGCTTCTCCCACGACGATGGGGGCTTAATGACATGGGCTGACAAGGTGTGCACTTACCACGCCACACCAAATAAGAGAGACATAGAATTGCAGCCTTCGATCTAATTGACTTAAACCAATTCATTAGATTAATTCATCCCATCCAGCAAATTGCTTAGAGGGTTGTTTAAACCCCTCAACAATCACCCATGTTGACTCAGGGAGCAGTGGGAGCTCGTGAAGCGCATCCTGGTTAAACTAAAACAAATATGCACAGAGTAATGGGAACAGGTTTGAATAACACAGGTCAATGTTATGCAAGCTAGCAGCCACTCAGCTCCATGCTGCTGTTCTGCTGTAGGAATACAGAGGCTGCAGGACGGAAGCATGTGAGCTACATCTAGAGTACTGAGAACGGCAGGGGAATTCATTGGCAGATGATTATACAGATGTTTTGATGTGTTTTTAAGTCTTGAAAACTATAATAACACTGGATTTTTTTTTTTTTTTTATTGAATAGGTTGTTGGGGATAGCAGAAAAGAGATAATAGAAGAGTGACAGTATAACAGAAAATAGATTCATCACTGAAATCTCCCACACTCAGACATATTACACATTCAAATGACACATCTAAAATGCATAATCATTTGTTGTGCTTTTCAAAGTGATGCTTTTACCCTGTTCATCGCCGAGAAATCGCGCTCACAGTTGACACTAGAAACGGGGATAACTAGTCCTATGCCCGCAAGGAGGCTCAGGCAGGGGTAGGGCTCAGCCCATTCATCACATTCGCTTGCCAGCAGACTCATGATCTCATCCTGTTTGTTGTTCTTGAAACAAACATTTGGTTTACCATCATGGCATTGTTGTGTGTGTGTTGTGAACCATAGTTGATTGTAGTCATAATCAGCTTAATTCACCCACCTTGAATGTCCCAGTAAGGTGATTCTTGAAGGATAACCACTCCTGCAGGACGTCATTCCCATGTTGAGGGAGAAATTTCCTGGCAAGAGTCTGCAGATAAGAGACTATCGTATCATCTTGTAGAGCAGC